CAAGAGAAGTTTCTTTTTTGTAATAAGCTGGAGGATATTGGATGGACGGGAAAAGCCCGTAGCCGCCAAAGGTTAACTCTGTGGTATTGCATACTCCATCAGGGTCAAAAAGGGACATCCATTTGAACACTTAAATGTTAGCGTCTTAGGAATCATGGAAAAGTTACTAATATCATCGAGGTTGGGGGGACTAACTACAGAGGTAGTTTGGAGAAGTGGACAGCAGGCAAGGGCAGTAACGATTTTGGCCATAAGGTGATGATAACGTGCACACAAGGCGGCGCGTCGGTCAGCAGCTGTTCTGGTAAGTCAACACGCTTGCACAAAGTGGGAATCGGCTTCCAATGCAATTAGTCAACACTCGGTAAAAAAAAAGTTCGCGAAGCCTCGTCCCGTCCTGTCCTCCTCCCACACGCACTCGCCGAAGAGGTCATAGAGTGCTGACCTGGTGCACTAACACCTCGAATTCCAGCCACTGAGAGATTACGAGTAGCCTACAGATATTGACTTCTTCATTAACTTCTACCAATCTGACTCTGATTCAATTTTGAAAAGGAATGTTAACATCAACTGCAGGAGAGACCGAATTCCATAAAAGCGAGATCCAGAGTGCCACTTCAGTTTCTACTTTGCAGTAAAACAAATCATCCAAACTAGGTAAGTTCTCATTCCGCAAAGGGAAGAGCAAACCCAAAAGGCAGTAAAAACAGTAAACGCCAATGATAGCAGTCTATTTTGCAACAGAGAAACTACCTTTTCTTAAATAGAAGTGGGTAAAACTTCTCAAAGTGTAATAATATTCAGCTAGAGTGACCACTTTATGCAACGACTCACTGCATACAAAATTGCGACATTGAAGTGATAAAAACACACGAGATCAAATGTCAAAAAACCAACTTAATGAAAAAGCCATTGTTTTCAAGATTCAGATACAAAACAATAGGAGAGAGGGATAAAATAAGTTGACGCAAGAAAAATGTTGGCACCACGGGATATTAGGCGTCCTCGATAGTGGTATTTGAGGGAGAAGTGGAGGTTTGAACTACCGTAGGGGTGGCGGAAGGGATGGGTGTAACTGAGGTGGAGGGTAACTGGGCAAGAGCGCCCCGTACCTTGGGTCGCTTGGGGTGTCTGGAACGGCTCTTGGTTTTGCAGAGGGGACAGATAGGTGCATTGCGGTGAATGAGCTGCTGGCATGCCTGACACGTCTTCATCGGCGGCTGCTGCTGCTGCGGCTGAGAAGGTGGTGGTGGCGGTGCGGGCGTGCCCGAGTAGTTGCCGGACTGGGGTGCCACGTTGACACCACAGCCTAGTAGCACATCGCTCAGACGTAGCGACTGGTTGGATGTGTGCCTTTGACGCTCCACTGACCCAGAAAAGAAAAGCAACTGATGGAATATGTGGGTGCCCATCATAATGCCAACTCGTTTAAAACAACGAATGGCTGAGTTATAATGCCTCAATGGTGTGCCGAGAGCGTGTAAATAGCAGAGCGAATTCCAACTTGCAGATAAAACCCAATGTATGGATTTACCAAGACATTCTCACGTCTCTACGTATTTCAAAAAACCCTTTTGGAATCATCTGCAAATTTACATGTCCTTATGTTGTGATTTTCGACAATGATGCT